GGAATCAAACAGACAGACCTTTGGTTTAGGGTGCACTATGAAGCTCAGCATGCCATGGTACACCTGTAGAGTTGATGGGTAACTCCACACTGACAGATCCTGTTTACGCAGCAAAGTCGCCAGACAGGATAAGATCTGCGGGGATATAAAAACAAGCAACTTTATTGTAAAATAATAGGGGAGACAACGCAGACTTCTTCCTCTTATCACAACTGACCTTCCTCTGGTGGTTTTTGGTCATTTTAGATCAAAATATTACATTTAGATTTTTAACATTTTTACTTCATTGAAATGGTAAGAAACTTGATTTCAAAGGCACTTGCTACACGAACAAAAAATATCATAGACTTGATTACAAAAGGCTAAATGGTCTTAAAGTCACACTTGTGGTTGTCAAATTTTGGGGTACAAACTACAAATCAGCCACGATTAAGTAGTCTTTGACGATGTCTAGTCTGACTACCACTGGATTTTGTATTATTTTATACAGAAACGGTGCATAATTTAGAGTTGAATATTGGCTAATACCTTCTTTATATCTATTATATTGAAATATAATAAATATTTTAAAAACTAAATATAGTCCCTTCATTTCATTTAAAAAAAACACTTATTCTGTAGGGTCTCTTTAGACTGCTGAGGATCACAAGTGTGATGTTAAATACCATATGGTTACATTTATGGTAAAAAAGGTGTACAAACCCATCGCAGGTGGGACAAAGAGTCGGAATCGGCCTGGTTTGACATCACATGCATGAAGGCTTTGGCTGTGTCCGAGAACTTTTTCTTAAGCACTGCAACTGGCATCCTTGAGAAGATAAGCAGAACATAAACTTATTAAGATCAACAGGCCAAGCCAATCTAAATCACTCCAGTATAAATTCACGCCAATCACCTTTTCATGACCAGGTTAAGGAGGTAGGCAACAGCTGCCAGTGCTTCATTGCCATCTACAGCCTCAAGTGTTGTCATCTGCCATTGAAAATGCAAAGACATCATAGGTTGATCCACAGAAACTGTAGACACTTTTAAGCATTTCGACAGCAAACTATGTCGTCATGAATATAACTGATTTAATGGTGACTTTAATTTACCAAGGCAGCAAAGTACTCCGTCTCTGTCTCCTTTCCTCCTTGAGAGCGAATCACTTCAGTTACGGCCGCCAATACAGCACAGATCTGAAGAATAAAATGTGAATTAAACACATTATGATAATCTAGCAATTATGGCACAAACACAGGTCTCTGACCATAAAATGACAACAAACCTCTTTGTGTGCTGCAGAGCTCGACTCCCAGTAGCGCTGTACAACTCTAAAAGTGAGGTTGGAGCAGTCCGACAGTCCACTAAGAAAAGTCCCAGAGGTCTTCTCTGTGAGGGCTTGATCTTCCATGGCATCTCCTGCCACATCACTGGTTCTCTGCAAAGATCCTGACTGAAGCTCATTGTGGAGTTTCAAAGCATCTACTGTCAGATCACTTTTTTCTGTTTAAATAGAAAGAGGTTTGATGAATCTCACATTTACATCAATCATACCATCTAAACAATATTATGACACCCGAGCCATGGATACAATAAAAAAGAAAGTGCAGTCCTAATACTGTCAGAATTTTAAATTGTATATGCTTTAATGTACTTTACAATAACCGTGAAAATAAATTATTCGTCTCTCTCTCTCTCTAAAAGTACCCAGGTATGAATTTTAATTTGTTTACAAAGTTCGATCAGCTACCCACGTGTTGTCACAGGCCAGTCTCACCTGAGGGACGGCTAAAATATCGGCTCTTCGCGGCGTCTCGATAGCGACATGCCTCCGGATTGCTATCACTACTGTGGCCTTTCTTCCACCGTCTTACTTTCTGGGCTGTTCCGGATCTAAGTTTTCCAGATTTCACCATTTTTGCAGGTGAAAATCCTTACAGTGCTGCAAGCACGTTGGTCTCTCTAATCTGAGTGTCGCGCATGACGTGCGTCATCATCATGCGTTTTCTTCTTCTTTCTTGTTTTTTCTCTGCGGATGACATTCAGCTTATTGGTGCTTTACCGCTACTTTCTGCTCCGGAGTTTACCTCTCTTTACCAACTAATACACATACAGACATACATGTTGTTTTCATGTTTTATTAGACATTATTATTTGTATATTGCACAAACTATATGTCCCCTAACCATACCCTTAAACCTACCCATCAAAGAAAACTTTCTGCATTTTCACATTTTCAAAAAAAAATAAATAAAAAAATCACTAAGGCTATGATTTATAAGCTGGACAAGGATTTGGGATGTTGCCATCTTTGTGGGGACATTTTGTCCCCCTAATAATGTAGGGTTTACCAGGACACAAACACACACCACTGATCTATATAATGATATCATTCTTTATAGATCAGTGACACACACAAACACACAATGCCATAATCACTCAGTAACCCTTTTTTAAAGTTTATTGTATATCTCTAAATTCTTTAAGACCACTGTTCCTATTGAATTTCCAGACTGTTTTATTATCATTCCTGTTCATGGACCAATATTTAAGATGAATTGTTTGTTAAATTCATGACAACCTGAAATGTCCAATTTTTACAATCTCTTGATTTTGTTCACCAAACAGCTGACATACCCCATTGACTTCCATAGGATTTTTTTTTTCTACTATAGGAGTCAATGGGGTAGATCAACTGTTTGGTTCCCAACATTCTTCAAAATATGTACCTTTGTGTTCAGCATAAGAAAAAAATTCATACAGGTTTTAAACAACTTGAGAGTGAGTAAATGGTGAAAAACTTGGAGAGTGAATGACGGTATTGAATTACTTGGACAGCCCAGGGATTCATCAACAGGGTGTGACATGGTGCATGGATGATGCTCTTAAGTTGTCATTAATACGAGTAAAACCGAGGAGTTTGTATTTGGGTCTAAATCTGATACTCATACAATGCCTGTTTTTATTCATGATGGACAAAACATCATATTCATGATCATATTGATGCTCTTTGTAAAATAACAAAACAGAGAATTTACTTTTTTTGTTACCTTAGGTCATTTGGAATAAGAAAACAGATGTGATAATGATATGTGATAATTATATATATATATATATATATATATATATATATATATATATATAGCAAAAATGATTACTACCATCAAAGTAATACTATACCTCCGGTTTGATGGTAATTACTACCATCAAACCGGAGGTGGAGTTCCAAGATTCCAAGATTCAACAAAGTGAGGCTGAAACAGTCTTTTGTGCATCAGGCTATCTTAGAATTGAATAAAACACTTAACCATAAATCATGAGTGCTGTGAAGGTGTTATTTGTATAGTACTGGGATGTATAATGTAGGAAGTTTATGTTGATGTTTAATGTATGCTGGTTGTTGTAAACATAGACACTCTTATGATTTCACACTTGTCTGAAATAAAGTATTATATTATTATTATTATTATTATTAAATGATGACAATTTTAATTTTTATAAGTGAACTATTCCTTTAAATGACAGGAAAAAAAGTATTTTTTTTTTTGTCAGTGAGAAATATATTTTTACAGGTATTTTATCCATGTATTAAAGGGTTAATTCACTTTCTCAGCATGCACAGAGGAAGACGATTTCGATATATCTAAATATGTTTAGTGAAAGGTTAAACTTCCGAAATCTCCGTGTAAACAATGCGTGATGTAGATGCGCGAGAGATCACTTCCGGCGTAACGTCTGGAGACGGTTCAGTTTGGTTCAGTTGAACATCTGATTCAGATCAGTTCGACGCCTGTCAGTACAACAACGGCTGTTAACAAGAGGTAAAAGCTATCCACAAGTTTCCGAGGGGCGCTCCTGTAAAAAATAAAGTGGGTGAAACTTCCGGTGACGCGGCGGAAGTAGCATTCCAATGGTATTTTGTGTGTTAGTTAGCGAAGAGGCTAGCTGTTTTTCGGAGAATTATTTTACTATTTAAAGACGCAAATCTTTATGAGAGATGTCGTTACGGAGCTCAGGGACAACATGTGCTGCTCGCGGTTGTATGTATAACCGGACTAAACTAATTTAGTGGCTTAAACGGGATTGTTTTGAACATAAGCTGAAAACGAAATCAGAGTGATTCTGCCAGAGCCCGTCTCTGATCCTGCCAACGACTGTAGTTTCCATCACCTCCCAAAAGACGACGAATCTTCCTGTGTACATTTGTTTAAATTCTTAATGTTCTATAAACTCTATCAGCATGTGTTTGGCTGTTTTCTACTGATGTTACACCTAAACTCAGGATCAAAGCCTGTGTTGACAGAATACCAAATGTGCCAGTTAATGTATTCCAGTAGCACATTCATTTATAATTTTGAATAAACTCCAAAGCACAATGACTAAGTGTGTATTTTTTATTTTAATTGTTTGTCAGCTCACACAACTGTCTGTCACCATGCCTTGATGAGTATTGATTATTAATAATATTATTATAATACTCCCAACCAACTACTGCGGAGGGTAAAGGTACTGTTATTTCACCCTTTTTAATTTCGTTGAGGTTGTGTTCCCACATCGTTAGCTAGTTTGGATCGCTATAACTTGAATGACTGTCAACTGTTGAATGAACGAGTGTCAAGCATGTCAAATCGCGCTTTGTTTACTTCCAACCGGAAGTCGCGCCCACTTTTGACGCAAGGCCTCATGGGGCGTAGGAAACTTGTGGATACTGTTCGTTTTCTCACACAAACCGCTCGTTTCATGTCTTTCCATCAGTGTGTAACGTTACTTACTTACATTCATGAGTCATTAAATCATGTTTAATTTTGACTTTTCTGTGCATGCTCTTTGAGGTGGACCCTAAAACTGCATTATAGGACTGACAGACAATTGAAAAATACTGTGGAAACAAAGACACCTACATCTTGGATGCCCTTGAGGTAAGCTAAAACATATCAAAAATTAATTTCAAAGTGAACTATCCCTTTAACTTAAAAGAAAAAAAAACATGCACTGGTATGCACTAATACACAGACTGGCGTGTTCTGAAATTGCTATTTAATTCCACTCATATTCGAGAAAAAAATCTGACAATAAATCCTCAGTAGTGACTGACATCTTGCCACAAAAGCCAATAGAAGATTCAATAAAAAAAATCAAAAATGAGTTTTGACCCTATGGTTTTGACATAGTATAAAAATCATAATTTAGTAAAAACTTGTTAGATTGTTTTTTTCCCCAGACACACAATTAGCTACAATTCTGTTTCTAAATGAAACAATATAATATTACATTATGAAATAATTGTACAATTTAGAATTTTTAAAATCTGCTTTGTTTCAGCAACAATAAACTAACCTTGTCATTTTATTCATTTAAAATTAATTTACATTAGAAATAATAAAATGAAACTGTCTGTGCTAAAATAAATTACAAACCTCTATAAAAACATAGCTACAAACAAATGTATACAAATTGCTTTGGAATATAAACACAAATTTCATGACTGGTAAAGCAAAATCTGACACAGTACCAAGTATCTCTTTTCTTGGATTACACAAATGTAACAGAAAGATTAATAAGCCTCCGACCAATCCATGATTGAAAAAATGGCATCATGATGAAATAACCATTTAAATAGTGTCTTAATAAGATTGAAAAATCCTTGCACTGTAAATTCACCCTCTTGAAAACTGTCTATGCCTTCTCAGCAAAAGACAGCAGACTGTATCATAGATCAAGGCAAATGATACCCTATAGAATATGGAAATGAATATCCACACATATGGATATTAAAACCAAGAAGGCGAGGTATCTACTGTAATTTCGTACAACAAACTTTAGCATGCTGCAATTTTACAAAGTTTCTATAAGAAATGTTTGTGCATCACATTTGGAAAAATAAACTCCGACCTGATCAAGTGAGCTATATGGAAACATATGCTGTAAGTCCTGCTTTACAGTTATATGAGCTTTCTAGTTGGGAACAATGGGCTGATTAACAATGACCTGTATTACAAAGTCCTTCTGGATCTTGGTGTCCTGTAAACGTGTTTTATCCGTGAGGAGCTTTCCAGAGAAAAACCAGCGCTGATTGGTTGTATTAATGTCTTCCTGAATCTGAAGCTGTTTCTTCAGCTGACGGATGGAATCGGCCATTGTGGCGCTGATGCGAAGATCTTTTCCGGTGGAGAGACGCACCTTCAGCTGAAACTCCTTCTCTTTCTTCTCCTGTGGCTCAGTGTGTTCAGACACATTATGATCGTTGCACTCGGAGACCAGGTTGACTGGAGGAGCCAAGCAGTACGCAGGGAGCTGATAGCGGTTGCCCAGTTCATCATAGCATTCCATAAGAGATCCTGAAAGAGCAAATTAAAAGCTATAATTCAGCTCATATATTTAGCATGTGTAGAGAGATGTACAGTATGTACACAACAGTGTTTAAAAGTTTGGGGTTGGCAAGAGGTGTTTTTGAAGTCTCTTATCCTCAGCAAGGCTGAATTTATATGATCAAAAATGACAATTTTATATAAATGTTGCCTGTTTTAATATGTTTTAAAATGTATTCCTGTGAATTTTCAGCAGTCATCATCAGTGTCACATGATCATTTAGAAATCATTCTAATATTCTGATTCTGAATATTATATTATTATTAATATCCTGTGTCTTCCCTGGATAAAAGTAATAATTTCTTTTCAAAAATCGAATGAGATATTAGATAGATCAGAGCAAAATAGAAGCATATGTATTAAAAATGCTGTTTAAATATTTACCATGAGGCAGTGAGATGCTGGCTCCATCTACAATAGCCTGCGCTAGTGCATGGTCGTTACAGTCAATCGCTAGCGCTGCAGCTTTCAGCGCGTCCCAGATCTCTTTACGGCCGTCAAAAGCTGGAGCCGTGTCCCAAAATTCATCTCTTTTACTTCGCAGCTGGCCCTCCGTCATAGGATAGTCACTTTTCCACTTGGGCTTGTCTTTTTTCAGGGGCTCATTGCGTCCTACAGAAGAAAAAGAAACAAAGATAGAAATGTTACCGAAGCAATATACAGATCATTTAAAGATGCATTAAGAGGTCAGTACGATTTATCCGGATGCCATTTGTAAAAATCCTGTTTCGCAAAAAGGGCCATGACCTCTTGTTAAAGAACTAGGACAACAAATACATGATGTCACACATGTAACATCACAGCTTTTGTCCAAATGAGATTCAGGGGGGGGCTAAACAGATTTCCCATGCTAGAAGTTTCTCTTTGACGTGCAGCAAAGATAATTCAATTTTATCTAAGCTCAGGACTCTTGTTTGTCAATCGCTCATTAAAGTTGCACAATAAAAGCCTGTTTAATAACTACTTGTTAATAACTATGAACCCAATATTACACAACCTAAATCCCAACAGTCAAGCCAGCCCAGATGGATGTCAACTAGAGAACATGGGCTCATGTGGGCCAAAGGGAAATCCCTATAGGAAGACAGCTATTGGCTCAGACAAGTGGCTTAATTATTTGTATACAAACAAAACGTGACAGAATCAAAGTAAAGATTTCAAAAGAAACGTTGAATCTTCATACTACGCCATAAAAACCTGCTCTCGAGTCAAAGCAGTGGATACACGTGGAGAAAAACAAATTATTTATAGTGTCTGAGATTAAAGCCTTAATCGGGTGATGCAAAACAGGACTTAGTGGCCTCTTTCCCATCATGCATCACTCCTAGCCAGATGAGAGTTTAGAATGCCACAAAACAAACACACTGCTGCAACAATCACCATTTCAAAACTGGGTGGCAAAATAAATATGTTTAGATATAGAACCATTTAGACATTAGTAGGCCTACTAAACTTTACCTAGTCAGTAAAAAGACCATCAAAATGTTTGTTGGCTAACTTACATAAAATTCAGCATATACATGTATTAACACATTAATAACATTTAAGGTATTGCTGGAGTGCCACTTATACAAATCAGACTGACTCTGTAAGTCAGCAAATTAAACACTGCCTGTCCATCTAGGATCTTGCAGACTTACAAATCCTTTTCGATTACTAAACACAGGAGATTAAATTGTTCATTTAATTTAGCTTCCATTCACAATGGCAGGATGACTCAGGCCAGGAAACAGGTGAAAAAATGGTTTCAAACAAGATAATATTACCAAAGAAAATGCTAAAATTGTCTTTAGATTTAAGGGGCCTTGAACTACACAACAAGTACAAGTCACAAAAAACAAGTCAACAACCTTCAACAGTTCCAATAGTTCAAGTATCATTAAACAATCTTATCACATCTTATCTTAGAAACAGCTAAATTATGTGCTGTAAGCTACTTACTTTTGAGCACAACTGTTATTGTTGGTTGATAGTCTCTCGAGTTTGCAACTCCCATGGTCTGACCGCTCACTTATTCCTTTAATCGGTGAAAATTGACTGGACAGTCGCTCCTATGACTTCATGCAGGGGTTTGAGGGATAATCAACACCACATGCACAGTGCAAAGACGTCACTCACAGCAAAACTCTTGACACCCAGCAAGTAAATCCAGTATCTTGCACACCGTACACGCCCATCACCTGTTTTCTGAAACTAAAAATAACACCGACTGTACAAATATAAATCAGAGTCGGTCACCAAGATAGCTTACATAGTCCTTGCTTTTACAATCTCTGGCTTGGATTTAGGTGTATGAGTGACTTTTCACAACAAACTTAATCCAGTCGGCTCTATTTCAGACCAGGACAGAGAGTCAAAAATAAATGGTAAATCCCGGGATTGTCCGAGCAGGACGGTGCACCCAAGCAATTCCACAAATATATGTCTTATCTAAGATGTCCCAATCTTAATTGGATTTCTAGGAAAAGAAAGAACATTCATTTTTTATAATTTAAAGAGAGAAGAAATCCACAATTTACTCATCACTGTATATCTAATATGTCAATCTTCTAAGCACTGTGCATCGAAAAATTAGTCCAAGAAAAATTCATGGAACTTCAATATATGTCTCACATGCCGAATCTTTCCCCTCATGTTGGGGTTATTTGAGGAACCAGTGACAGTTGTTTGAGTTCCAACAGGAACTAATAGGTTGTGAAACTTCTGCCCTTGTGAAAGAAAATGAACTGCCATTTTTAAAAAATGGTGCAAGACAGGGGTAGGGCGTTTTTAAAATAGGGTCTGGGGACCCCCAGACAACTGCAGGGGAGTGCTAAGGGGTCTCTGGAAAAAATTAAAATAAATAAACAATAAAAAATAACATTAAAATAAATGAATACAACTTTGATTCACATAAAATAAATAAAACATTTATTAAAATGAATAAATACATGTGAATTAATAATTTAACAGTACAGTAGTATAATAAGGTAGGCTTAACTTAACAGAAACATAATATTTTTCAGATAATATTTTAAATTATATAATTCCTTTACTAAAAAAATAAGGTCTATGTTCAAGAAAATAGGCTATGGGGGTCTCTCGCATGCTGAATGTCTGTGAATGTCTGCATCTAAAAAGATTTAAGCCACGTACCTAAGGTCTTTTTACATTGACAAACTCTCTAAAATATCAAAATAAGCTTGCAAAGACAGTTTTTATATATTCTTTTCTCATTCAAGGAACATCAGATGCATTTACACTATTTGCAAACAGAGTTTATCGGCAGATCAATTACCTCCTCGTTTGGTGCTGGATCTGGATGCATTCCTGGAGGACAGGCGAGACCTTTGACGTATCACTCCAAAACAACTTCCCATCACTCAAACTCACAGCAGGACCAAGTCTTGAATGCCTGGATGCAGTGAATGCATTTCGGATTCAAAATGTAAATAGTTGGTGACGTCGTTAAAATGTATTTTGTTATAGCAGAAGAAAGTTTATATCTAGTTTACTGTTATGTTCTGTTGTCAGATGCATTGTTATCCGAGGACAGACACACAAGCCCGTTGTATTCCGCTGAGTCGACATGTGTCTGTGACTTAACCTGATCTGATTAGTAAACCTTCCACCAGGAAGACAAGTGTATCAGTATCACACTAACGCAATCAATGGATTAACTAATATTCCGCACTTGATGTTTACTTGCCATCTGAGTTAAACGCATAGATCCTTCCATATGTAGTCCACACTGTTGGCTCCTGAAGAAGAATAAATCATTTTAGAGCTTGAATTGGTGACGTAGTAAATTTGGGACTAGAGGGCGCTCGTGCACATTCGAGGCTGGCATGTGCTGCGGAGAGTTTTTTTATTGTTTATTGTTGAACAAAGATTACAAGGGATACATGGGATATATATTTCATCTCACCCACACACGCGCACGCTTGAAAAAAAAAAAAAAAACAGGATAAGAAACTCGTGGTAATACCGAATTTTTGCAAATGATGCCATTTGCTTCCTTATTCTTTGGTAGTGGTTGCAAGCCACTTTTTTCTTAATTCTCGTTTCCTTTTAATTAATTTAATTTTGGTTTATTTTCACCCTTCATTGTTTACATGCGCACCTTTAAATTTGTTTCAATCTAACTGAATTCATTCCGATTTTGATAAATTTGAATCTAGTAAATTTTAATACATCAATTGTGTTTTAACATTGCTAAGAAAATCCCCGCTCCTCCATGATACGAGACTGGTGCCTCCTCTCGCGGCCCAAGCCTCATCCTGTCTTTCATCCAAGCCAAAAGTACATTTTCTGCCTTTTCTCAGTCTAGAAAGCTCCAAATTCAAAAATAATTTCACATTTCTTCTACATAAATTACCAATTTTAAATACACATTAATCTTTCCAAACGTGAAGTTAAATATTGCAATATTCCAACTCTGATAGTAGTTAGTAAGATTCTGAAATACTAAATGATAGTACACTGCCACCTAAAGGCAGTAATTTAGAATGCATAGTGATGCGTTAAAAAGAAAAGAAAGGATAAAAGCAATTGTAAGGTGATGAAACTGTAAATAAAATTCAACAAAAAATTCAGTGAAAAAACATTTATTTTACATTTAATAAAATCCTACGCACGTTTTTTTTTAAAGATGTGGTTTGGAATTTAAATATTGATACTGTGAGTGACATAAATAATGTGTTAAAACAATTTTTACACAATCATACATTAAGAATCTCATGGCAACAAACCTATCTTCCATAGATATCACAGACAACTGCCATGCTTTCATTACAAAATATTGATAGAAACCATCCAAATGCATTGTAATTTTGGAAGACAGCCCTTTCGTTTGGCCAGAAAGAGCAAAAGTCATCCAGTGAGATCAGTGTGTAAATCTGGGCTCTGGAGACTCCTGTGTTCGCAGGGCCATGGATATGCATTCAGCTTTGGCACAGCGGGTGAGACTCACCCTGATGAGCACGCTGGTCATTGTCAACTAATAAGACAGTCAAGTCTTTATTGTCTCAGACTGGCATCATGTCTTTTTTAAGAGGGTAAATGTCCCATGTCAGTCCATCACCATATGGAGTGTGTCCAGAGGGGAGGAAAATACGTGTCAGCCAATGACTGTGGAGAAAATTAAAATAATTTGCATTAAACCATAGCTTAACAGACTGCAGACTACCATGAAAAGCAAGTAAAATGTGTAATTTCACCTTCTCTTTTCTACACCAAAGAACACCTTCCAGTTGTTTAGTTTACCGTAACTGAAGGGATTCCGATAGACCTTTAAAAAAAGTTTAAAAAGCATTTGATGTAATTATAAGAGATCCCAAATAAGAAAAATTAAATCCCAATCAACATGGGACTTGTTTAAACAGACAGAATAGTCAAGACTTTGATTCTGAATGGACTGAAGTCACCCTTACCTTCCCACGTTTGGCCAAACGATTGGTCTCTTTGCTGTTTATATGGCGTTCAATGCTGGTTTCTCCACGGGTGATGAGTATAGCATGCCACAGTGTGAGAGCTCCCAGGGCGACTGACACTGTGCTGATGGAAAAACCAACAAACATAACAAAAGATGTGAGTCTATAGAAATAATAAAACCAGTATTGGGGCCGCTGTAAAAGAATAGCCTTTCGGAATGACGTACCTTGTGAGGACCCACATGTAGATAATACTCTTGTGAAACATCCTGTCCTTGTTGGTGTATGGAGGTTGCGAAACCTCCTGTATCCCGTAAAGCATCAGAAGAGAAAAATATTTTATATTATTCAAAATAATACACTATTATATTAATAAAAACGAATGCAAAAATTCAATATACTATAGATACAAATACTCAAACTTTTTAAAATATTATATAAATATTTATATTAAAGCAACGAATTATTTGTGCATATATATATATATATATATATATATATATATACACACACACAAACTCACGTTCAAAGATTTGGGGAAAATACTTTTATGTGATGACATGAAAATGGCATTCTTTTTATATTTTGTCAAATGATGGAAAGAAATTCATGCATTTTTAAGTGTCTCAAGTGTAGGCACAATATCTTCTTATAAACATAAATCTGAGAACTGTACACTTTCTTGATTCATTGTCCCGAATGAAAAATATAGGGCACTGTGCACCAGATCTTACCAACCAGAGATTAAAGAGTCTTAAGTTCACATGTAAGTCCTCCCTCATCCAATTGTGACAAAAGCAAAGTCAGTAAGTAATACCAATTTAAATGTTTACTGTTAGAATTGGGATCAGGAAGGTCAGAAATAATTTGTTGGTGTTTTATAGCATGTTGTTTGTTTTAAGAGTGTTAAATAATGAGACGTGATAGAGAAAAGGACAAATTCTAATTCTAAAGCCAAGCTGACAGCAGGAACAATGACTTGAAGCACCTGAACTAACTTCCCAGCCACGCCTTCTGACGGCACAATGCCTATGAGCAACCCAATCCCTGTCACCGGAACACCCTGTTTCTCCGCTTCCATGTGCCTGAAATGCTAAAGAATAGCAGAGACAACTGGCAGTTAAGACATGCCCACAACCCCAGACTTTGAGAACAGAAAGAGAAAAGGAGAGACATAACCATTCAGAAAGAGAGAATTTAAACACCATCTTACAATTGACACAAAACACCATATTCATATGAATAAGTGGAGGGAAAAAGCAACAAATGTATTAAAAAAAACAAAGTCTTACATCTATGGCATTGTACGCATCGATAAAGAGATTCCGACCGCTGATGCTACAGTACATGCAGCCCATGGTCAGAAAGAGACAAAAGGAGAAGAAGTAACGATGATTGTAATGACCAACACAGTTGTTAAGCCAAGCTGAACATATAGAATTAAGGAACCAACTACACAGAAGTGAAAAACCTAAATGAATAACGGACACAATTTCAAATTTAGATTTAAATTATATCCAAATCCAGATTGTCATTGTCAATTAAGAACATTCTAAATCTTACTTCTTTCTTTTGTGAAATGTAAAACTGGAAATAGAGAGCAACATTGCCCTCACTTTTTCAGCAGCTTTGGTTCCAGAAGTATTTTTTCCATAGGGATTTTTAAAAAGTCTTCATTAAAAAAAAAGCAACCAGCTTTTAAGAAAATCATAATATTACAAAATTTGAGTGAAGCAAAAAAGTATTTGAAAATAGGACTAAAAGACAAAAGGCACAAGAATGTGAACTTAACGTCTTTAATAAGGGAAGAACTTCAATCCTCGGTGGAATCTTGGGTAATGTCATTTTTCACCAGAAATCGTTAAATTTCATTATTTTGAAAAAATAAGTTGAAATAATGCACAAAATGGCTTCAACAAGAGCATATTTCATCATATATGACATCTCGTAGCTCGCAGCATGTCTATCTTTAAAGCTATAAAGTTTTTGTTAAAATGGATCTGGTCATTCTTTTCCATAAAATTATAATAAATTCCAGTAAAAGCCATCTAAAAGTATAAAAAGTAGCCCACACAACTTGTCCATATACAGGTTTGTAAAAACATGGGACGCCATCTGTTCATTGGGTGAACAATCCCTGAATGTTGAACTGTGTAAAACTGTGTAAAACAAAGCAAGACATATTTTCAAAATGCCAACAATATGGTGATTTAAAAAGGATACGGCAATGATGATCCATTTTTAGAATACAGCTGAAGAGAAAGATAGAGAAATGTTTATGTTACTTTCTTTCAATAACAGTATAAAATACAGCTGATATTGAGTCACCAATTAGATTTTATAAGACTGTTCTTACTCTTACGTTTTACAGATGCCACAGTGATGACTTCGCGCCGGTTTAGGAATGATACACTTTTTACAGACCGACACAAACGGGACGTCAGTTTTCATCTGAAAAAAATTAAAACAACATAAAGAAATACAACAGTTGTTAGGTCATGAATGACTTTGAAAACACACATCAGCTCTCTGGATTGTGGGATGTCTAAGGGTGCTGAACCTTTGGAGGGTATCCAGGGGGAGTGCTTGTGGCCTTGTAGTAATGGAAGGCTATCATGACTATGATCCAATGCCCGTAACAAATGTGCCACATTATCCAGCCAGGAGAGTACGTTTGCAGGACCAGAGGTAGAAGGCAGTAATAAGCGATGAAAATCACAGAACTGGTAAGAGCGACTACTAAAAATACAAAAACCTAAAGAGAAAGGAAAAAGCGAATGCTGTGTGAGAAACGCAAAGACATCTTAAGAAAAAAACATGATGATAGTTATGAGAAAAGACAGATTTACCATTCCAAACCAGCGTGTGACAACCTCCACCATCCAAAACACTGGTTCAAGGATGGAGTCAAGCACCACCTCAGAGTTAGTGAGCGAGTTAAAATAAAGAGATTTGAAGATCAGTTTGATGTAGCTCAGAGGTTGCCTCAGTCTTCTGGGCATGCGATTGTGCCTGCAACACCCGCGCATGCATCTCAGCAGCAGGTGCGTGACTGTAGAGCAGGGACGCATGTTCAGCCCCTGGAAAGACAACATGTTATCTTTTCTTTACTTGTTCCAGCTTCCTGAATATCGACACAAGCGCGTTCCTCTGACTATGTCCTGCAGTTTTCTCACTGACACTTCCCCCTGAGCTGAACTTGTAAGCCAATTAGATTAACGAAGTATCCACCTAAGCAGTTGTTGTGGACTGATCCAAACCAATAATGCAAGCATGCATTAGTTTTCTGATACACATGGATTAGCTGACAGAATACAATAATAAAAAAGATGTATAAAGCCTTTAGTCAAGTGTTTACTGTTTACTTGGCACAATCGCACTGATAACAGTGCATGTAAAAAGCCCAGCCCATTTTAAGTTTACTTGGGTTTACAAAAAAACATGGTTAGGCTAGTTACTAATGCGTCTTTACTTGGATTTGTAGTTGTAATCTGACTATAAATCTTACTAGACGGCTTTCAAAACCGTCTCATAAAGAGTCTGGAGGTAAATTTGAGATTAAAATGTATAAGGGACCTGGGATGATAACAGAGGCTTGTAAGGCAGAAGACATAAGACCTAAGGCACATTAAGTAAATATATATATATATATATATATATATATATATATATATATATATATATAATAGACATTACCAAAAATTAAAAAAATAAACTAAATGTTAGACTTAGACATTGTAAAATTCAATTGTGAGATACTGATCTGGAAAGTCTACATTCCGAGCACAACATGTGGGAGGGAACACCGCCTATATGTAATGTTAACTTATAATAGAGACAAATATAAACATAAGCATAAAGAGATGGTACAGTGGACAATACTGTCAGATTATTGTAGAAATGGGCAACCTCATACACCATCCCCCATGTCATAATAAGACTATAATCTCACAGAGTCTGTGCTATTAAAATTATCATTAAGACAAAAATACATATTGGTAAATTAGTAAATTGATCAAATCACAGCGTCAAAACTGTGGGTAAAATTATACATACAACATATACTGCGCATCAGTGATAAGAGAAAGGTTACTAGTGATGTTGTTTAGTACCTCGAGCTCACAGAATCAAACAGCAAGAGCTAACATCACAGATCACTACTTGACAGAAATGCATGCGGTCGGTTCTCTTACCTGGCCAAGACCTTCTACTAAAACTGAGGTGGACTCAACTCATGATACCGCTGAAAGATATTTTTATTAGGGACAGATGGAGTCAAATAAATGGAAGAAGCAGTTTCTACCCCTTTGATTTCATCTGCTGTCTGTCTGTCTGACGCGCAGGGATGTCACGCTGGGAATTCTGGGAAATGGGGTTTAAGGTGCGGAAAGCGGAAATATTATATGGGAACTTTTATGATATATTTTATATTATTGATAATCAAAATTACATTATATAGTGTGGCATTTCATGAAAAACAAAAAACGTAGTTATGTTCGATTTTATGTAATCCCCGGCAAACTGTTGCAGATAACTGTGGGAATTGTAGTTTGAATTTTGTACAAGTCATTTGAGCGAATCGGTTCTTTCGAACGTTTTGGTTCAAAAAACGGTTCAAGAAATAGTTCAGTGATTCTTTTACGTCTAAACGTAACTGACCCCAAAACCCCGTCGTAGTGCTATAACTTTCCAATAAAGACATGTACAGGCAAAGTCACAATTTTACAACAAAGTCATAATTTGCATTTACATTACTAAAATTAATTTACGTCTGTTGACTGAAAACGTATTTTTGTAAAATTCGAACAATTTTCTGAACCGGTTCAACCAATTCATTGAAAAGATCCGACTCAAATGAACAAATCGTTCGGTGGGCTTGGAGTCCGGCAACGGACGGTGGTTTTTGGACGTCGAGGCTGGCAGCGGTGGAAGGAACGTCAGGACAAATTAACTGAACAGAATCAGGACAAGATTCAAAAAGGACAAATCAGGAACGATTCTTGAGTTGAAGTAGGTGGATATAATGGATGATTCATCCGATGATGACAATCAAGATATGGACTTCCAAGAAGTACGATATAATAAAAGGAAAAAAGGAAGTAACATGGGTGATGAGTTTGAATTCACAAGTAAAATCAGGGATTCAGGGCAAAGGTTGATGAGAAACAATGAGGAAAAGGAAATAAAAGTTATGATCACATTTGTCAAACAAGCAGAGCAATACATGCATCCTGTTAAACTATCAAAAGCGATAGAAAAAGAAGTGGGATCAGTGAAAGGAGCAACATGTATGAGTAATGGAAGAGTCTTGATTAAGTGTAAGGATGAAAATCAGAAAGCAAAGATTCTAAAACTGAAAACACTAGCTGGTGGTAAAATAACCTGTGCTGGAATAGATGTTAAGAAACGTGGTGTTATTTCAGCAGTTCCTTTAAATGTAACTATGGAAGAAGTAAAAGAAAACCTGATTGGAGGCAAAGTTGCTTTAGCAAGAAGATTGACGACATGGAAAGATAATGTAAAGTGTGATAGTCTTTCTGTGCTGTTACACTTTGAAGACAGCATTTTACCAGTCAAGGTAAAACTAGGTTTCATCAGTTATGTGGTACGGGAGTATGTACCTCCTCCCTTGCGTTGTTATAAATGTCAGCGCATAGGTCATACTGCTAATGTTTGCAAAGGGAAAATGCGTTGTGCGAAATGTGGAGGGGAGCATGAGTATGGGAAGTGCCAGGAAGGAGCCGAGATCAAGTGTTGCAACTGTGGTGGAGAACACAGCGCTGCATATGCAGGATGTCCAGTACAACAACAGGCTCGTGTAATACAAAAGGTAAAATCCACCCAGAATGTAACAGAAGCAGCTCGTAGAGTGAAACATGTAAGCGATACAAGAAAACATGCCGGATTGGAACAAACCTCTCAGATTGATAAATCAATGGATCGGTTGAACTTGATAAAGAATGACTCAAATGATGACATTAGCATGAACAAAACTGATTTTGTAGCTTTTATCTGTGCAGTGGTGAATGGAACTGGGCAGGTAGGACGAAGATCTGATAAAATAAAAATTGTGGTAGACTGTGCAAACAAGTTTTTGAATTGCATTGGTATATCAGCAGAACAAGTTCACAAGATTCTACAGTCTAAAGAAGGGAGAACAGAAGGTGGAATAACAACAAATTATGAAGCATCTCAATGTAATGATGTATAACATTATCATGTCTTTCCTATTGCTTCATTGGAATGCCAGAAGCCTAATCGCTAATGGTCAGGAGTTTAAAAAGTATATTGCAGATATGAATAAATCTCCTGATATCATTTGTATACAAGAAACATGGTTATGTAAATCATTGGACTTTAGGATGAATGGCTATGAGGTAATAAGGAAGGACAGGATTAATGGTAGAGGTGGGGGGTGTGCAACATTCATAAAAGAAAATGTAATATATAGACAAAGAAGTAATGAGGGAAATACGGAGTGTATATGTATAGAGATAATGGGTACACAGGGGGTAATTAGAGTGGTAAATTTTTATAATCCATGTTCCGAACTAACAATGGATATCCTGAAAATGATCACGGGTGAAAAGGCAAACAAAATTATTATATGTGGTGATTTTAATGCTCACAATTGTATATGGGGTAGCAGGAGTACAGATAAAAATGGAGAAATAATAGAAGAGTTCATGGAAGATAACTCCTTAGTATGTTTAAATGATGGCAATCCAACAAGAATAGACATAGCAAGAGGTAGAATGTCATGTCTGGATATCACATTAGTTTCAGCATCATTAGCTGACAAATGTGAATGGTCTGTATCTAAAGATAATATAGGAAGTGATCATTTTCCAGTGACATGTGTAATTCAAAATAAGATTCAACTACAAAAAGGTAATTATGGTGTAAGATGGATATATAAGAAAGCAGATTGGGAAAAATTCCAAATGTTATGTGAAGAACAGTTCAAAGATCTCTCAATAGAGGGTAGTGTTGATGACAGATATAACAAAGTAGTGAATGCCATTTATTTTGCAACTTCTCAGTCTATCCCTCTATCAAGTGGTATAAAAACAAGAAAGAATGTGCCATGGTGGTCAGAGGAGTGCTCGGCAGCAATCAGAGAAAGGAATAAAGCATTTCAGTTTTTAAAAAGAACACTCACACCAGAAGCAGTCATAGATTATCAAAGAAAAAGGGCTTATGTTAAAAAGATTATTAAAAGTACAAAAGGTCAGCATGGCAAAACTTTTGTGACACGATTGGGAGAGAAACTCAAATAAATGCAGTCTGGCGTATGATTAAAAAGATGAATGGAATTGATAGTTTTAAAAAAATACCTGTCCTGGAGGAAAATGGGAAGGTAGCTATCACAGATAAAGATAAGGCTACTTTATTGGCTCAAACATTTGCTAAAGCTCATAGCATTGATAATTTAGATGATACATTTTTAACAAGACGTCAGCAAATTAAGAATGTCTATGGAGATGTTTGCAAGAAAAAACAAGAGTTCAATAATATTTTGGATGATGAGTTTAGTTATTTTGAATTAAAAACAGCAATTAATAATTCAAAGAGTACCACACCAGGAAAAGATTTGATAAGCTATCAAATTTTAAAGAAATTATCACCAAAAGCATTAGAAGTATTACTGGATTTATATAATTATATATGGAATGAGGGTATCCTTCCTAAGCAATGGAAAACGGCAATTGTGCTTCCTTTTGCTAAGCCTGGGAAAGATATAACAAAATCTGGTAATTATAGACCTATCGCTCTTACTTCTACGCTATGTAAAGTAATGGAAAAAATGATTGTAAAACGAATGAATTATATTTTAGAGAAAAGAGAACTGTTGTCAAAATTTCAAAGTGGTTTTAGGAAAAGCAGGTCTACAGCAGATGCTTTAGTATTGTTTGAAAATGAAATTAAAAAAGCTTTTATAATGAAAGAGTACATGATTGCAGTCTTCTTTGATATAGAAAAGGCTTATGACACTTTGTGGAGGGAAGGTTTGCTAATTAAACTGAATAAAATTGGAATAGGTGGAAAATTTTATAATTGGGTTTTAGAATTTTTATTTGAACGCACCTTTCAGGTGAAAATTGGGGAAGAATTATCAGCTCCTTATAATATTCTAAATGGAACTCCACAGGGTAGTGCAATTAGTCCATTATTGTTTAATTTAATGATCAATGATGTTTTTGATAAAGTGAATAAACCAGGAATAGGATTAGCTCTGTATGCAGATGACGGAGCACTATGGAAGAGAGGCCGTAATATTAAAAATGTGGGTAAAGGTATACAGGAGTCAATTAAAGAAGTGGAAAAATGGTCTTTGGACTGGGGTCTAAAGTTTTCAGTATCTAAAACACAATATATGATATTCACAAAGAACAAGAGGAATGAACAATTAAATCTGAAGTTATATGAACAAACATTGGAAAGAGTACCTGTTTTTAAATATCTTGGATTATGGTTTGATGAAAAACTAACATGGAAGTGTCACATAAGTAAAATTGAGTCAAAATGTAAGAAAATCTTAAATTGTATGCGTACGGTTGCTAGTCACAAGTGGGGAGCTAGCCGTAGTGCATTGTTGTGCATGTATCAAGCATTGATTCGTTCTTGTTTTGATTATGGATGTATTGTATATGGTTCAGCATCAAAGTCATTGCTGAAAAAATTAGATATAATTCAATCTAAAGCATTAAGATTATGTTGTGGAGCAATTAAAACATCCCCTGTAGATGCAATTGGAGTAGAAATGGGAGAGATGCCTCTAGATATTAGAAGGGAAAAACTGGCAATTACATACTGGGTAAATCTCCAACAATCAGCAAATAATCACCTTACTCGCAAAGTATTGGAGGAGTGCTGGGAATACTCATATGATGAAGGACACAGTTTTGGATGGAAGAGTAAAATATGGGCTAAGGAATGCGGCATGGACAATAAGATCTTCTGTCCCAATATACCACTTACTGATACTCCACCTTGGAAAGTCCCTGAACCGCTTGTAGTTTTGAGTTTATTAAACAAGTCCAAAGAAGAGTACATTGGAAAGGAGATTAATGCCTTTTTAAATAACACATTTTATACAGTATTACAAATATTTACAGATGGTTCTAAGGAACCTATCAGTCAAAAGGTTGGAGTAGGAGTGTTTATTCCCCACTTTAAAAAACAGATTAGTTTGAGGTTGACTGATGAGGTGTCCGTGTACACTGCAGAGTTAACAGCTATAATAATAGGACTACAATGGGTTGAACAAGTCAGACCAAATAAAGTAGTCATATGTTCAGATTCTTCTTCAGCTTTAATTAGTATATTACATGCAAGATCAGACAGAGAAGATTTGATAATGGAAATATATTTATCATTATACAGACTGAAAGAGGCTGGAATAGTAGTGTATTTTTGTTGGGTACCAGCACATGTTGGGGTATCTGGTAATGAAGTTGCTGATAAACTAGCAAAAAAAGCGCTAGAAAAGAGAGAGGTGGATGTTAGAGTACCTATGGGGAAAAAGGAGGCAAAATCAATTTTAAAGAGGAAGTTAATAAATAAATGGCAAATTAGATGGGATAGTAGTAGCAATGGGAGGTGGTGTCATAGTATCACAAAGATAGTAGGGAGGGTAAACTGCCAGGGAAGAAATAGGAAAGAAGAGGTTTTGCTGTCTAGGTTAAGACTGGGACATACAGGGTTAAACTCAACACTGGCAATTATGGGATTACATGAGACTGGATTATGTGATGAATGTGGTGTATCTGAAAATGTTTGTCATGTATTATTTAGTTGTAGTAAATATAATATTTTTCGGGATGTATTATTCAGTCATTTGAAGAATGGAGAGGAAAGAATGAAGAGTGAGGATATTCTAGGAAAAGGTTTAATGGATAGACAGATATATAGAGCATTATTTACATTCATGTATGATTCAGGTTTGGGATATAGAATATAGTAAGTGTGTAATGTTGAACCTGCCATGGGGGATGAGTGTGGACGGAGGAGCTGAACACGCAGCGCCGGATGAAGCCCAATGAAACCTCTATTGCAGGTATGATAATGAATGTTGATGTATTTGAGATGATATAGGTAGACAGGTTTTTTTTTTTTTTTTTTTTTTTTTTTTTTTTTTTTTTTTGAATCCAGACTCATCACCCAAGGTTAATTTGCCATCTAGCAGCACAGTAGGTGGCGATAATGCTCCTTGGAGTTAATCGCCATTAAACAGGAAGAAGAAGAAGAAGAAGAACAAATCGTTCAGGCAACAACAGTAGCTGCTGTCCACACGTGCTCACTACAGGAATAGAAATAGTACAAAACATGGCATTCACTTTCAACTTCGATATACCTTTACAAACAGAAGAAACAAATGATAAAGAAAACAAAGACGGCAACGGCAAAGATGTGGATCTTAAATGTTCGGTAAGGAAATGTATCATTAGCTTGTTAAATCCGGCTAACGTTATATGTTTGCTAATAATGCTAGTCGGCTGACTATAATGTTTCTTTTAATTATGCTTGAGAAATACAACGCATATGTGTCATATTGTGCTCTATATTCAGTTATGTGAAAGAATAAATCAAGCATATGTAACTTAGGTCTCTTAACTCACGCTACATGTCAAAAAGTAACTAGTGATTGCATCCGAGATCATATGCACAATGTATCTTTTTATAGGACACCAGTGCAACCGAACAAACGAAGACGAAGAATGCTATTGAGCACGAACCTTTGTTGGATCCTCTCTCCCACATTGAGAACTGGGTGCCTGAGACCATCACAGTAGGTGCCCTGCCTCCCCTGCTCTGTCTCAATGAATCAGTGTTTGAGAAGACCGCTCATGAACGAGAGGACAGTGAGGAGATACTGGCCAAAACACTGAATCAAAACTCTGACCTCATCACTGGAGTGTATGAGGGTGGACTTAAGATATGGGAATGCACGTATGATCTTCTTGAGTACATTGATGATGAAGGAGAGACCTTCACTGGAAAAAGGGTGTTAGACTTGGGCTGTGGAGCAGGTCTACTTGGTATTCTTGCATTGAAGAGAGGAGCCATCAAAGTTGACTTCCAGGATTATAACAGCACAGTGATAGAGCAGTTAACAGTGCCAAATGTGTTTCTCAACTGTGAAGATGATGATGATGATGATGATGATGAGGAGACAGGGGAGAAAAATAGCAGTCCACCATCTAAGAGGAAAGCCCTGAATACATCACATAAATTACTAGATCATTGTGGTTTCTTCTCGGGCGACTGGAACTCTTTTCTCACACTTATGCAAAACAAACCCTCATCTCCAAAATATGACATTATCTTCACATCAGAAACCATATACAACAGAGACTACTACTCTTCTCTTCATAGTGTGTTTTGTGGCCTGCTTGCTGAGAATGGAATTGTTTATTTGGCAACTAAGTCTCACTATTTTGGAGTAGGTGGTGGACTTCATCTGTTTAAGAAGTTTGTGGAGCAGAATGAAGTCTTTCAAATCAAATATTTGAAGGATGTGGAACAAGGCCTGAAGAGACATGTTGTATCATTGACATTTAAAAAGTGACATTGAAATTGTATTGATAGGTGTTACATGTGGACATTAACACTTATCTATTATGGACACCCACCCTTTTCAGGCCAAATGCATCGACTATGGGAGTCTAAATTGTGTTTGGCATACATAACTTAAGGTAAAATAGAACTGAAACTTTCAAAGTTTGTTGAAACACTGATGATTTGTTATGTCATTACAAATCAATCTGCAATATAAGTTCACATTTATTGGTTCATACAGTGCTGCAAAACCACCATCAAATAAACAATGACTTGCATAAGTTTACATGTACCAAGCAGGCCGACAGACGAAACAGTCATTAGGTTCAGTCTCAACACTGGTTTAATGTGAAAAGAAATGTACTTGCTGCATTGAGAACACTTGACCAAACATATTCTAAAAAAAAAATAAAGTGGAGATACAGTAATTTATGGAATGAATTACACAGATAAATCCAAACAAAAATGTGTGGTCCTTGTAAAATGTTTACCTAATAAATACAACTATTGCAAAATTCTAAAATGACATTATGGTAATAGGTCCTATATTTATTTAAACTCTTAGACACTTAACCAATAGAGCTGTCTCATTGATGTTAAATATGCGAGTCTTGTTTAAAGTAATTCAGTGCTGATGTATAATTTAAAAAGTTTAAAGTAAATACTCTATTTCTTTGCTTTGCCCTGGGCTGCCACAGCCTCCATGGCTTTGCGAACAGTTTCTTCATCTCCGAGGAACTGCATGGGCTTGATGGGCTTCAGGTTCTTGTCCAGCTCATAAAGAATAGGGATGCCTGTGGGCAGATTCAGCTCCATGATGGCCTCCTCAGACATGCCTGTGAGTGTGAGGAAACACTATTGAGACTAGAAAAACTGAAATGTCGGTCATTATTAATGACCTCTCATAAGAGCTTATGACAAACTATTTCTAAAACAGCATTCAAACGTCCTCAAGTAGAAGGTTTAATTTTTAAATGTATAACTTCTTAAATAAGATGTTTTTCTGCAAATGTTTAGAATAGGATGTTTTCCTGCCTATGGTCAGTGTTGTTTTGGTATTTAGTTACTTTTATCGTTTTTATGAATATTTTGAGTTTGTTTTTATTTTTTTCATTTTAATTTGAAAGTTGTCATTTTATTTTTTGTTATGTTTATATATATATATATATATATATATATATATATTCAGCTTTAGTTGTTTTAGTACACCAAGTTAATGAGAAAGGGGTATTTGGAAACTACCTGTAAACTTATCAGCCACACTTTGGTTTAGGGTCCACATCTTTTGCCTCAAACTCCTAAAAACTGCTTACTAATAGTTAGTAAGGTAGTTGTTAAGTTTAGGTATTGGTAGGATTAAGGGATCCCCATATATATGCATGCTAATAAGCAACTAGTAAATAGTGAGAACTGGACCCTAAAGTAAAATCTTACCAGTTTATTTTATTATATATAGAGAAAGAATGTCATTCCATGGGGGAATGAAATTGTGGATTAACTTGCTCAAGACTCAAAATGTGCGCTAACAAAGTAAAGAGTCAATTTTGCTTTTAATTGCAAAAGTAATTTTATGGATTTTATGAACTTCTTGCAGACTATATATATATATAAGCTTTTAATTTACATTAATTTTCCTGGTATTTTGAAAATTTAAATGATGGTGAGAACACTGAACAAAGGATTGAAAAGATCCTACAATTACCTTCTAAGTGTTTCACAATGCCTCTCAAACTGTTTCCATGAGCAGCAATCAACACTCTTTTCCCTTCCTTGATTTGTGGCACAATCTCCTCATTCCAGAAAGGTAGCGCCCGTGCAATAGTGTCCTTCAGACTCTCGCAAGAAGGCAGCTGGTCCTCGGTCAAATCAGCATAACGTCTGTCCTAAAAAAAAGAATGCAATAGTACTGCTCTTTAGCTAATAGAAACTCTTGACTTGTTTGTTTTGGGACATAGAATGGAGTTTCCTATACAAATAAGGTTTGACCTTTGTTTTTTGAGCCTTTGCACTTATTAACTACTAGCACGTCAGTTTCAAAATGTAATGCCAACATGCTGCAACAAACTGCAACATGTAACCGTAAAACCCCCAAGTTTTTCACATAAAATCAGATGGAATATTTTATGTTATGATGATTAATGAATTCTGAGATTGTTGTAATGGATGCAGGAATGCAGTTCACAAGTTCACACTTACATACAATTAGAGGGGGTAAAATTTAATGCATATTTGGCGTGCTGTTCGGGGTGGGCGGGTGGTACTCCGAGTTCAGAGTTTAGCCCGAACCCAGAGTACTCTACCCATGCAAGTTGTTAGAACTAGAAGTGTGGAGAAGGGGCGGTAGAGGGGTGATGCTAAACTGTTTATTAACATTATTAACATAATAATGTTAATTTAGGACAATTTAGGACTGTTTCGAGTTTCTGTTATAATCTATGGAATCTGTGATTAATTAATCAGATTAAATAGATTGAGAGATTAAAATGTCATACCTTGCTGATGATGCTGTAAAAGTCATGATCTGCATCCATTGTTGGTGGGGGGATGTCAAATGAGCGCCTCCAAATCTTAACCTGGGCTTCACCATGCTTGGCCGCAGTCTCAGCCTTGTTTAACCCAGTGAGACCACCATAATGACGTTCATTCAGGCGCCAGGTCCTGTGTACAGGCAGCCACATCTGATCAATACTGTCCAAAACGATCCATAACGTCCGGATGGCCCTCTTCAGCACAGAGGTATAACAAATGTCAAACTCAAACCCTGCATCTGCAAAGACACAGTGATGCAGCATAGACTTAATGGCAGATGGAATTAAAATAAATAGAAATCAATACATTGTGAAGTAATCAATACAAATACAAATTAATTTATTTTTAAAAATGTGACTTTTATGAAAAGATAAAAATCATAATTTTATTAAAATTTATTTATATTATATAAACAATGCATAACAGTAATCGCGTCAAAAAGTCACTTTTTATTGGGAAATTCAGCTCGTGTGTAAAATCACGTTCTGTGCGGCACGTTCGCATCACGTAGGCCCCGCCCCACACCCGTCAGTAATAGGGAAACTGACAGGTCATTGGTTCAGAGCTTACACTCGTCACGTCAAAGGCGGGGTAGCGCCAAGGATGTCAGTCTTCTGAAAGTCATTTGAATTTTCCGGTTTGAGTTTTTTTGTTTAAAATCCAAAAACCTCAATGCAAACATTAGTAAGACAAAGCAGGTAAACTTATTCTCAATGTAGACGTAATATACATGACATGTTCTTTAAAAAATACACTTAGGACGTCATATTTACAACGCTCATTTACAATGCTGGAAAATATCATAAAAATACCAACCTTTTAAAGCTTGACCGCCTTTCTTTGCCTCCTGAGCCCCTGTCTCGCTCAGGTCGGCGTCGAACCAGCCGCAGAAGCGATTCTCCTGGTTCCAGCAGCTCTCGCCATGGCGAATGAGAACCAATTTGTATGCAGCCATTTTGAGATATAGAGACAGACTAAATGTAGCAGCTGAAGAAAGCACGATGACTGTGCTCTGATCGAACAGGTTGTTAAGCTGTGTAAAGAGACGAGTACTGTCAAAAAGACCCTCTTCTCTTCTGAGTCCCTAATAAATGACGTTTCCGACCTGCCCATCTCAACGCTCCACCAATCAGCGCCTCAGAATGATGCGCCTCACAGTGAAACTGCAAATACGACATGGAAAAAAAAACATGAGCTTCCTGTAATGAATGTCTCTGCATATTTGGCATTCAAGCTTCAAAATATATTATCAAGAATAAGAAGGACTGTAATATATATCATCGTTCATGGTTCGTGCCAGAGATAAATTAGGAGGATTGTAACTTCCCGTTTTCCACTGATTTTATTTTGCACATGATTCTTTTTTTTTTCTTTCTTTTTTTCTTTCTTTTTTTGCTTTATTCAATATTTTGCACATGATTCTTTAATGTTAATGAAGCAAAGCTGTTAAAACATCTCTACTTAACTGAAATGTAACATAGATATGAACAATATTTTAATTGAAACAAAACAAGAAATAATTAAATAAAAATAATTAAAAAAAATCTTAATTTAATCTTACTCATCTTCTTCTTCTGTAGAAATTGAAACTATTATTTATCTATTATTTAGAATTATTAGTTTATTTTATGCTCTACACAATTCAAATTGTCTTTTATATGGCAGGCTGTAAGGTCATTGTTAATAAGAATACCATCGACACTAATTTAATGCCCCTTAATGTTGTAGTCAACTCACTTTGTAGATTTTGTTTTGAGGTGTCCTTATAAGAACTCATCACTGTTTAATCAATGTATGAAGCACTAAACTGGTTGCAATCTAAATCAAGAAGGCAATTCCACTGGGTGTTTCTTTCAACTGTCCTTCAAACAGCATCTAATTCCAAGCAGATCTTCATTATCCACTCAGACACATGCAATTCCCCTTTTTCTTTGTACCCAGAATTTATTATGAAGTTGGATCGTTTCAATAGAAAGCGCCTGGAATAATCGTTCAATTTCCTTGAGATCTAAAACTTCTTTTCACTTTTTCAGATCATCCCAATTTCTATTTCAATTTGTTTATGCTTTTAACTTTTAACTTTAAGTTATCATTTGTTCATTCGTTAAAATGTTATTTTTTCATTCATTTATTATTATTTTTGCTGTAATCTATTTAATGTAATTAAAATGTATACATTTACAGGTGATATTATGATGATGATGATGATCATAATATGACTTGTATTATTTCACTTTGAGTAAAAACTTAGTGTGAGTGGTCGGTGAGATAGTTTGTGTATGAATGAGTTGTGTAGCCTATTAGCTTTGTATGTCTGTAATGTAAGTTATGTATTTTTAATTTTTTTTATTTATTTATTTTTTTTTGCTTATGGTTTGTCTTTTGTATGTATTTGTGTTTATATGACCCTCTTTTGAAAATGAGATGATGCATCACAAGCATAGATACAGTCGGTTGGTCTGGGAACGCCCCCGGGAACGCCCCGTCACGTGGTGTGAATTTAGCCCGTGGGGGAAAACAATGCCTTGGCGCTCATTGAAATACATGGGACAATCATGCCGAAGAGTTGCGGTGTCGTTTTCTGTACCACCAATAAACAAACAAATTATAAATTGAAGTTCTACAGCCTTTCTTACATACATACAGAACCGGATAGGAGGACAAAATGGCAAAATTAATCATATCTTATTAGATTACTGGTGTGAGTAGTGGGTCCGTGTGATATAGTAGTAGATGTTTATAATCGTATTAGGCAGTGGGCCAGATTTGTCTGACGTTACATCCCTTACGAAAAAGAACTATAGTAATCCTATGGCTATTAGTATTCTATAGTAGTGTATAATACTTCTGTGATGTTCATTAATACTTATACTCCTAGGCTATGTCCCAAAATACTATAGTATTCCTATAGGATTAACGTTACTATAATATTTTGTCCTAAAATACTACAAGATTCCTTTAGTTGTTTTTTATAAGGGATGTTATTAGCGTTATCAGCTGAAGGTTATCAGACTGCAGTCTGTGAGAATTCGGATAACTATCAGCAAAGTCCCTCTGCAACTTCGTAGCGACTACTAATGATCACCGTTTTACAAAAAGATTAATAGATTGGAGTGAAGCATACGTACAATTGGTAAGTGACATGGTTTTATCGACTTATAGTAACTTATACGCAAGTTGATTGAGTTACAGGCTTGTGTTGCCGGTAGCTTCCGCGATGTCTTACCCTGAAGATTCAACCAGATATAATAGTCTGGAAACGACACCTCCGGCCATTTGGTTGGGTCATTGACCCAGTTTTTAATTAAATAAGGGCAATCATAACCTATTACAGTTAATTTCGCAATGTACCGTTGCCGGTCGGCAGGCATAAATGACTCGCAATATGACATTTTTGTCATTCAAATACATAGGATGGTCGCGCTGCTTTCCCCCACGCCGACCACGCCCCCCAACTATGACGCGTTGCCGACTGTATCTATGGAGATCACAAGAGGCGCTCCTTAAGGCGGGAAAAATCGTCATTGGTTTCTCCACAGCATATGACCTCTAATTAATGAAAATACGTACACATTTATTTTGAAGTTAATATCTCACCGACATTTGTTCTATCAACAAATCACACAATATAAAACATTTTCGTTTCTTAAAAAAAGGTGACCGTTGACCTGGTTCCGGGCGGTATTCGCGGCGGGTAACGTTAGAGAAGAAGAAATTAACGTTACCAGAGTGGAGCGTGCTGGCGGGTGGACGTATGTTAGCTCTTCTTGACGATTGAATATTTTGGCGTTTTTTAAACACGATTTTTGAATGTTTTGTGCAGGATGCATCAGGCCATCACATCAGATCAGATAGCCCACTGGTTTACTGTTGGGGCACAGTTTGCAAACGTCAGAATCACTGATGAAGTGAAAAAGCTAGATGAGCCCAAAGCTACTGCTGGCAGGTAAGTTAACGTCAATGACGAGGTCAAGCGTTTTTGCTTCTGAAAACTTGGTTTTATTATCCAAACTTGCTCTAAGAGGATTTCGTAATTTCTAGAGATGTTGGACAATAACATTGACAAAACTGGAATTTTGTACCATGTGCAGTTATCGCTAATTAAAATAAAATCACCATGGGACTGTTGGGAGACACGTGCGTTTAGGATACGTAACTTAGTTTATTTTTCAGAGTATACGTATGCAATTTAGCACTTACGTTTTCACATTATTAAATATGAATGCTTTGACCAAGTTTAGTTTTAGAGGCTCTGCCATACCAAACAACATTTTGCGCAGGTGAATTGATGTTTGACAGTTGGTGGCAAACTAGGAGTTTTCAAACTGGGCCCGGGGATGGGGACTCTCAGGAGGCCGCAAGGCCGTGCTAGGCTACGGTGTCCATGGAAAAGTCTAAAATACAGTGTTTAAATGAATAATAATAATAATAATAAAAAAAAAACATGAATAATGAATAAAACATGGGTTAACGTGAATACATTTTAAAAAACAAACAATAAATCCATCTAACGTTACAGTACAGCACAGGGTAGTGAGTGTGTAAGTTAGCATTCTTTATATAAACGAAATATTTTCCAAATACTATTCATATTTATAATATTAATTTTCACTCTATAAATTTGGCCTTTTTACATGGAAACATTTAGTTGGCCATCTAAAAGATGGAAAACCCCTGATCAAGGCAATGAATGGACTGACAGGACCCAAGGACAACACCTTACACATTTTTCTCTCAATGTGTTTGTGCATTTGCTGCAGGTCTGTAGAGTTGTTGTCTGATGATAAGACTTCTCCAGAAAAGGTAGGATCAGATGGAGGAAACCAGAAGAGCAGGAAGGCAGAACTTCTGAATAGTAATTACAAACGAGCCTACACACAAGCTGCTCCTCACATACACTACATTTGATGTTCCTTGAACAATTTTTTTATCTTGAATCAGTATGATCTCTATGGTCACTGTGCTATTAGCATAACATCTCCTACCACCACATTTGGCTTTTGTTACCTACTAGGATGTTATTGCATAACTCATGTTCACTGTTTAATCTGTTTTGACGTGCCTTCTGAACTATAGGTCCAGGATCCACCCCCCCTACTCTGGCCAGTTATGAGTATCCAATTCTGCCTATTACTAAGAACAGACAAGAGGTACATTCATAGAGATACAAGGCACATATGAACTTATTTACTCATTATTCAATCAAGGATTTATTTTTATTTTTTGCATTTTCCTATATGTGTATATGTCAATCCCTGTCTGTATTTGTGTGTAGTTGATCTCTCTGATTGAGAATAACTCTGTCATCATCATTCGTGGAGCGACAGGCAGCGGGAAAACCACCCAGCTGCCACAATTCATCCTGGATCACTATGCGGAGAGAAATATGCCCTGTAATCTGGTTGTCACTCAGCCACGCAAAATCGGCGCCACCAGCATTGCCCGCTGGGTAGCACGTGAACGCAAATGCACCCTGGGAAGCTTGGTGGGGTATCAGGTGTGATATGCATGCAGGAGAAACTAGTAATGTTCGACTCTAGAATCAATTGTTCTTTTAGGCTTGTAACCGGTCAGATTCAAATTTAGGGTACGTTTACATGAGTGATGTTTTAAAGTCTTTCGTTTGCGTCTTTTGCATACTCACTGTCAAAATGTTCACAAGGATTCATGAAAATGACTAAAATGGTGGATTATTCATGCCAGACCAGTAGTTAGTTGAATAAGTAATACACGTGCATGACGTCACATTGTATCACTTATCACATTGTACACAGAGACAGTAAAAGTATTGGTTTCAAAAACTTTCAAAAGTTTTCCATTTAAGTTGAAAACCGTGTTGTGTAAACAGCCCCTGAATCAAACTTCTGGGTTGTCAACTGGGAGCTAAAGTGAGGCTACAGTGCTTCTGTTAAGCACCTTAAAAGAACAAATATTTCGGAAATCGAACATCATTAGTAAAAAAAAAAAATGTTTTCTTCAAAAGTACTTCCAACTCATCAGCTCATTAGTAGAGACTCTGAAAATAGATGGGTCAGATAAGGGGGACATCCAAACTGGGTACTATTGGGGTGCCTCCAGAAACAGGGTTGGTGGAAACAGAATTGTTAAGTGGAACTGGATTCAGATTCCCTTTTGTTAAACTTGCAGTATAAAATATGCTGATT